AATGGGAAAACGTATGCAAATGTGGAAGGTGTTAAAGAGGATATCGACATGTTTTTGCTTCAAAGCCAAGTGAATTCTTTAATCAGGGTACTAACAACCTGATTGTAAGCTGAAAAAGCATCATCGATAAGAACGGAGACTACTTCATTTACTAAATGTTTCGTTTTAATATAAAAGTTGTTCGGGTTTTTTCATCTAACAAAAGCGACATTAATTTCTTGACGACCTAATACAATGTATCTCTAAAGGGAGGTTGAATCGTTGTTGTACAGATTTTTCTCTCTAAATATCGAGGAGTCTGTCTGATAAAGTCGGCATGTTTTCATAAGTATGTAAAAGTTTGAGTTAGTTGTTCTTGTTACATTAAAACCTGCTGTTAATAGTGAGTTTTGAATGGTTTATAGGTGTCTTTTTGATGCGCAATGGTGTTACATTTAAATGTGAATAAAGAGCAGTAAACGGGGCCCAAATTATATTTTTTTTTCTTTGCTATAGGACCAGTAGTGCTAAGCTACATACGCCTCTGCTCGTATATTAGACTAACCTCTATCAGAACCTTGCAGCTCTCCGCCACTACCGATCAATGGATACCCACAGAAATGGGCACGAGGGATCTTTCCCCCCCTTACATTTTACATATTATGATGCAAAGTTAACATCGTAGTTAAACTAAATATTTTTAGTAATTTTTATTAAAACTGTAAATTTTTGTTTGCGTTTAATTAAGCACACTACGCGTATTCTTTTGGTCTGTTAACTTACACTGTAAAAGCTGATCCCCCTACATACATTTTTGCCCCTATCCCCTGAAAATATTTCTGTGGGCGCTCTTGTACCGATCAGAAAATTCTAATTTCATTAATTTTTGAGCTACTCAAAGGGAAACATCGGTACTATAGCCATGGTTAACGTTTCTTCAGTACACCAAACGATAGATACAGTGGAGAGAAATGCGAGTGTCGCCGAAGTCTATTCGCCAAATTTATACATAACAAGAGGTCAACAAAATATTTTAAGCTGCAAAATAAATTGAACGTCCGAAAAAAAATTTTCATCGTGTTATAACAATGATTTTTTACCTATTTAAATTAACTTGTTTATTAATTCGTATAAATAGTGTAAAACCCATAAGTGTTTTAATTACTATTGCAATTTTGTGCTTGTTTGTAATTACGCACAAAGTTACACAGTGGGCTATCTGTGCTGTGCGCACCACAACTATCCAAACCTGGTTTTTAGTGTTAAAAATTCACCGACATACTATTGAGCCACTGGGAGGTTGCAAGTTTGTATTGATGTTCTATTGGTTACATTCTGCAGAATCATCATAAATTAT